GCACGTCATCAGGTACATGAGGCAGCCCACAAGCTCTGGGTATGGACCACTCGGCTCTACGGACTCGTCCGAAGGTGGAGCTGAGAGCGAGTGGCCGGTAGCCAGAGGAGTGGGCTGTGGCGAGGAGTACGTGAAGCGGAAGCGCTGAAGGACCTGGTGCACCATGTGTGACTGAGTCAGGGTGATGGTGCGCCGTGGTCTGTCCCGGGTGATCTGCAAGCCAAGATAGCTCCGCAGCTCACCCAGGTCAGTGCAAGTGTGTCTCTCCTGCAGCTCTGCCTTCACTAGGGCTAGTGCCTCAGTGTCAGCAGTAGCAAAAACAAAGTCGTCGACGTACACGAGGATGTAGAACGGCGGCAGAGTAGTGTCGGAGCGTAGAAACAGCGACGGGTCAGCAGTCGAAGGAGAAAACCCAAGAGCCGCAAGTGTCGTCCTCAGTGTGTCGTGCCACTCACGGGGCGCCTGACGCAGGCCGTACACTGGTCGCCGTAGGCTCCACTGGGTACCCGCAGGAAACGACCCAGTGAAGCCCTGTGGATGGCGCAACCAGATGGCCTCGTGAAGGCTACCCTGCAAGAAAGCTGTCGAGAAGTCGAGGGAGTGCAGCTCGTAGTCACGCTGAGCTGCAACGTGTAGCAACACCCGAAGAGTGGTCATCTTCGGGGTGGGGGAGAAGGTCTGAAAGAAGTCGACCCCCTCACGCTGACTGAAGCCTCGAGCAACGTAACGTGCCTTGAAGGCAGGCGGAGAACCCGGCGGCCGCTTCACCCTGGAAATCCACATGCCACTGACGATGTTCGCCCCAGGTGGGGGAACCTCGTCGACGTAGGTGCCTGTGGACTTCCAGGAAGCCATCTCTGCGTCCATGGCTGTCTGCCACTGAGAGGAGTACTCACCCGAAATCGCCTCCCTGTAGGAGCGCGGGGTGGGGATGTCAAGTGCATCCGGGTCTCCCTCAGGGGCAAGCAGCATGGTCGCGTGATGGGGTGAAGCGGCAGCAAGGCACTCCAACTCCTCCTGTCTGTCCTCAAGAACGTCACAGCCAAGGGCAGTACAGCCAAGAGCAGTCTCACCCCCGACGGACGGAGGACAGGCAGGGACAGGGTCAGAGACAAGACTCGCAAGGTAGTCTAGGCGGTACACAGCAGCAAAGTCAACGAGCTCAGCTACTAGGGCAGACGCAGCAGGAGACGAGAACGTAGGGTCCGTCACAACCGTAGCAAGAAGGCGAGTAACAGTCGGACTGGACGCACGAGCAAGGTCAGACGGAGGGTCAGCAACGTCAGGCAGAGAGGACGCAGGAGGTAATGGTAGTACAACACGCTGAGGAACAGAGGAAGGACGGAGTGTCATATCGTGAGTGCCGGGGACAGCCGGAGCACGCGGACGACGAACACGAGGAACACGAGCACGGATAGCAGCTCTAGGCTCAGGCTCAAGGTCAAAGCTAGACTCAGGCTCTCGACGCTCAGGGGTGGAAGCACGAGTCTCAGGCTCTCGACGCTCAGTCAGGGACTCTGACACCGCAGTGTAAGGAGCAGGAGCAGGCAGTGGGGAGTGTGGTAGCAGTGGTGGCTGTGACTGGTCCGCTGGCGGACACAGCAACGGAGGAGTAGTACCTGCCACAGGGAAGCCAGTAGCACCTGGCGGAAGACTGAGAAGGTGGCGAAGAGCACCAGTAGCTCCCGTACCTCCAGCACGAGCAGCTCCTCCAGTACCCCCAGCAACACCTCCAGCACCAGTAGCACCAGCACCCCCAGCACCACGAGCTCCGACAACGCCAGCACCTCGAGCACCAGTAGTACCTCCAGCAGCTCCAGTGCCTCCAGCTCCAGCTCCAGCGCCTCCAGCACCAGTAGTACCAACAGTACCTCCTGTTCCAGCAGCTCCAGTAGTACCTCCTGCACCTCCAGCACCAGCAGTACCACCTGCTCCGGCAGCTCCAGCACCTCCAGTACGAGCACCTCCGGGACCAGTAGCTCCAGCACCTCCAGTACCTCCAGCTCCAACGCCTCCAGCACCAGCAGTACCAGCACCTCCAGGGTCAGCAGCTCCCGCAGCTCCAGCACCAGTAGCACCAGCACCTCCAGTGCAACCAGCTCCAGTACCTCCAGCACCGGCAGCAGCTCCAGTACCCCCAGCACCAACAGCTCCAGTACCTCCTGCACCAGCAGCACCTCTAGTACCTCCAGTAGTACCTCCAGCACCTCCAGCACAAGCAGCACCTCCTGGACTAGTAGCTCCAGCACCAGCAGGACCGTACCCTCCACCACCAGGATTGCCTCGCAGAACGACCCACGCACGAATCGCCTGCGGCGAGAGCGTCTCAAGTAGAGCAGGCTGCGGTGGCTGTCCAGCTCCAGTACCTCCAGTAGTGGTAGCTCTAGCACCTCCAGCACTAGTAGTACCTCTAGTACCTCCAGTAGGACCTCCAGGCCTAGTAGCTCCAGTACCTCTAGCTCCAGGACCTCCAGAAGGACTCGCAGCACCCCCAGAGTCAGCACCCGAAGTCTCAGCACACTCAGTCCCAACACCCTCAGGCTCAGCACCCTCAGTCTCAGCACTCTCAGTCTCAGCACCCTCAGGCTCAGTACCCTCAGTCCCAGCACCCTCAGTCCCAGCACCCTCAGTCTCTGCTCCAGTGTCCACAGCAGTAGGCTGCAGAAGCGGCGAAGACGGCAGAGGTGGGAACCCGGGGGGGGTAGCCAGACGAGGAGAGCGGGCACCCCCAGACTCACCACCCCCAGCCCCAGCTCCAGTAGCCTCAGCTCCAGAGTCCACAGCAGCAGGCTGCGGAGGCGGCGAAGACGGCCGTGGCGGGAAACCTGGGGGGGTCGCCAAGCGAGGAGTGTGGCGAGTGGTCGCCGTGTTGTCGGCGACGGCGTCACCCCCCTCAGGTGAGTCAGAGGAGTCAGAAGAGATCTCAACTGGCTCATCCAAGGGGGGTGGGTCTACCTGGGACACACCTGAGGGAGCAGGACCCTGTGGGGGGAGGGGGTCTACCGGGGGGGGGACTGGTACCAGGAAGAGGGGAGCAAGGGGGACCGGGTGGGACGTGTGCGGGTGAAGTCGGTAGTAACAGACCGACTCGTCGAAGGTGACGTCCTGAGAGGACAGAACACGACGCGAGGCAGGATGGTAGAACTGCCAGGGTGGAGCGTCGGTGGGGAAGCCCAGGAAGACACAGCGGAGAGTGCGAGGAGAGAGCTTGCTCGCTTTGGTATCACGAACAAGGGAGAGCGCGCCCCAGACCCGAAACGACGACACATCACCAGGCTGTCCCGTCCAACGAAGTGTGGGCGAGGTCTCTGGAGCAGAGACACGGGGCCAGAGGTTGAGCTGATGCGCGGCGTATCGGACCGCAAACGGCCACAGGAAATGGGGAGCAGCCGCATGGATCATGGAGGTACGAGCAACCTCCATGATCAGGCCAATGCGACGCTCAGCGATCCCATTTTTCTGCGGAGAGGCCGGAAGCGTGAACGACTGGGCGATGCCCTCATCCTGGCAGAACATCTCAAGGACGCCAGAAGAGAACTCACCAACCCTGTCAGATTGCAGACGCAGGACTGGTAAGTCCTGCTGAAAGCGCTCGTGTAGCTGGAGACGAGTAGCACGGATCCAGGGGATCAAAACACCACTGACGTCCGCCTTGCGACGCAAGGGGAAGACGGTGGTGTAGCGTGTGTAGTCGTCAACAACCAGCAGGAAGTAGCGCTCCTGGTCCGTCCCACCGACGGGGGCCGGACCCCACACGTCCAGGTGGAGAGTCTGCAGAGGAGCAGTGGTCGGAGGAAACTGGGAGGAGTGAGGAGCGGCGCGCTGCCGCCCCTCGACGCAAGGAAGGCACGGCGGCGCAAGTGAGCGCGGGAGGGGGGGCAGGGTCTCAGGGAGGCCAGAGACCAGGAGTCGGGAGTGCATGCCGCGCAGATGCTGCAGGGAGGGGTGACCAAGACGGTGGTGCCAGCGCTGAGTCTCGTGCGTGAGTACTCTGCACGAGCAAGACGCAGCTAACTGCCCTGACGCAGACGCTCGACTCGACGCAGCTACCTGACCTGACTCAGCCACCTGTGCAGACGCAGTGGTCAGTGTGTACAGACTAGACCCAGGCTGTCGAGTGAACGTAGCCAGGTGACGGCCAGTCCGGGAGCACGTACAGATCGCCACACGCTGCCCTCCAGGAATAAAGGTATCAACCCATAACAATATGTTTTGACAAGTACAACACCTTAGGTCATTCCTAGTACTTGTACCTACCCTTCCCTACTAGTCAATCATTCCTACGTACTATTTTTGATACGTATGTTACAGTAGCATGTGTTTTTTTCACATGAGTTACATGTAGTAGCGCGAACAGTTTCGTGACTGCTTCAAGTCAGCGAAAAAAATGCTGATCTAGGTAAAAAAGGCTGAGATTTCAGACTTGTTTTAGAACCGATGGTGATTTTTCAGGAATTGTTTTAAAAGAAACGGGAATTTTTACTACTAGATTGTAGTGTAAAATGGCATAAAATGGCTGATTTGTCTGATTTTCAGCATAATATTTTGTACCAACTCTAAAATTTCAGCCTAGCCCAAAACGAATCTGAGGCAGCACGTTTGAGTGTATTGGTACATTAAAATAGTTCAATTCGTGTTCTCATACTCAACCAGTTCAGGAATTCAAGTCTTCCGCTGCAATATTCTGTTAAGGACTAATCTCTAAAACGATCCTAAGGGCATTTTCTTAGCCCAACAGTGATCAAAGTACCGTAAGAGTGCGGGCACTACCGGCGTTCAGGGTCAATATACCGTACCCTCATAGCCCATCAGGTAGGATTTGATGCTGCCTCTCGCAGGTCAATCTCAGCATGAGTCGTTTGTAACAGATACTAGATTACAGAATATTAGCTCAAACATCGTCTCTCTACCCACTTCATTAATTAGGCACCTCAAAATGGGCAAGGGACACTGGAAAAGGCTGTGGGGGGCACTCAGGCACGGCCTATTGGTGATGGCATTCACGTGGAGAGCACCTGGCAGCCCAGCACTGCGTTTGTTAGCACCAGCTCCGAACCCTTGTTTCCCCCTCCCGGCCCAGGTATCACCTTCACCAGTATCACCTCCTCCTCACACCCCTCCTCCTCCTCCTCCTCTTCCTCCTCCTCCCCATCATTCCTTCCACTCCTCTCCTCGTCATTCCTTCTTGCCCCTTCAAACAACAAATCCCCACTCTCTGCCTCTTCCCCCTCCCCTCGCCTCCACACATCCCCCCACACACTCGTGCCTTCCCCCCCTTCACCTGTCACCACCCCTTCCTCTCCCCTCACTCTCGCCCTCCCCTCTCTCGCCCTCCTCCTCCTCTGCCGCTCCAGTGATCTCAGCATGGGCGGCAGAGGGGCCATCAATAGCGACCGGTCCGGCAGAACAAGACAAATGTGGTCCAGGAAGCAGACAAGCTGCGCTGCCCACGGCTTGTGGGACGTGGCTGGCAGCCGAACCTTGCCGACCCACGTCCACGCGTGAGTGTGTGGGTCCCAGACCTTCAACTTATGGTCGTCCCCAAAGTCAACTATAAACATGTGCCCCTGCACCGATGCTGTGGGGCCCTGCCATCCCTGCAGTAGAGGGGGGCCGGGGGGGAAAGGGGGGGAAATGATTTTTGTTCCACCACACTGCCCCTGCACTGCTGCTGTGCATGGAGAGGGGGAGAGGGGAGGAGAGGGGCAGTGATTGATGCTCCAGCTCATGCGCTCCATGCCCCTCTCCAGCTGAAATAGCACTCCCCCAATCCCACCTGCTCAAGAAAACACCATTGCGCTGCCCAATGCCCTACGCCTTGCGGGTTAAGTTAAACGCCATGCCCTATGCCCCAGCGTGGCACAAATCGCCGCACCACACTTCACCACGCCTCACCACCCAGTATAACTCACCTGCACCATGGCGGGGGGCAGCTCAGTGACAGTGTTGTCACGCGGGTTGAAGGCCACGCCCAGGCGCTGCCCCCACCCGATGTTCTTCGCCACGAGACACCCCCCCACCACTGCCTGATACCCCGGCAGTGTCATCAGCTCCGCTCGTGCTGATGCTGCTGCTGTGCCCACCTGCAGGGGAATGAGAAGGGACACGCAAGACACAATAGGATGTCATTGACCCATAGAGAGCATCACGGCAGCCACACCTGCGTCCACCGCTCTTCACCGCTCCTCACCTGCCACCACCGGTCTTCATCCACGTCATACGCCTCCACGGATCCCACCAGCGCCAGGCTGTTGGACGTGCCGATGCCGCCCGCCACGTATAGCCGCCCGCCCACCACGCCAAACATGCAGAACCACCGCCCCGTGCCGATTGCTGCCGCCCGCTTCCACTCGTTCCTGCACAGGTGGCATGCAGGCACGTGGATGCAGGGGAGGTGGCACGTGGGGAAGGGGGGGAGCACAAGGGGGAGGGTATAGTGGGGGATCTCAAAGCAGTGCGTGTGAGCGTGTGTGATTGTGAATCTGAGTGAGTGTGAGAACGAGTGTTTGTGTGTGCACGGATGTGTGCGTATGACAAAGAGCAACGAAGCAGGATTAAGCCGTGCGTACCTAGAGGGGTGGTAGATGAAGACGCCAGAAGCAGAGTCGAGCGGGTCCTCTCTCTCCACCACGCCCGCCACCAGCAGGCGCCCCTTCACTGCGGCGAACTGCAGTGTCAGCACCGACCGCTGCTGTGCTCCTGGGATGGGCGGCAGTGTATGCCACGTGCTGCTGCTCGGATCGAACGCCACACACGCGTTGTGACCCTGCATGGGATGGTGAGGGGAGGGAGAACGAGGAGAAACGGATGTGCAAGTGCATTAGGTCGTGCGTCGGTGAATACGAGGCAACTAGGTAGGCACTAGGAAGGCTATCAGCAAGAGCCTCGCATCGACTCATGAGTCAAAGAACAGAACCTGTGTCCCCCAGGCTCACCTGCCAATCACTGATAGACGCATACAGCCAAGGCTCGGTAAGCCCGAGCCTCTTCCGAGCCTGGAAGTAGAGGCTGGAGCCGAGGCTGTCGTGCCAGCGTCTGCAGACGGTTCTGAGAACCTGCAAGTTGCTCCGAGGCACACGGAGAAGAATGGCCCAAGCCAAGTCGTCTGGGAGGCCCGGCAGGAACGGCGGCTGATCCTCGCCGTTGATTGCTGCATCTGCGGCTCTCATTTCCCGAGCCACCTTTTCAGCTTCAGAAACACGATCTGTTCTCTCTTCTGTCCTTCCTGCCTCCCCTGTTCCCCCTGCCTCTCCTGGCCCTGCTGTTACGCCAGAATTCCCTGTCTCCCCTGTCTCTCGCCCCCTCTCTCGTTCAATCCCCTCCACACTGTTCACAGCACCCGTGCTACCCGCACTGGCAGCATAAGGCGATGCACCACCATCCGCTCCTGCCGCTGCTGTTGCTTCCGCCGCTGCTGCTGTTTCCGCCACGGAGAGCGAGTGCGGTTCGCCCACCAGCGCATCCGAAAAATCATCCAACGCGGCCTCGCCTGCCCTTGCGGCGCCTGCCGCGGCGCGCCCTATCGCTCCCGCCTCGTCTTCCCCGCCGCCTGAAGCACCACCGCGGGCCGCCGAGGCACTGGGAGCGCCATCATCACCTGCCGAGCCTCCCGCGCCACAGCCGCCGTGATAGGAAGTCATTGCGAAAGAGCTGTCCGCAGGTGTTCGCAAAAGAGGTTACCAACCCTAGTACCGCTTTAGTATGGGGGCACAGCCTTCTCACAAGCACATCTTGCACGACAGCGAAATCCCCCGTGGGAATGGCGGTAACAGAAGTGAGCTGCTCCGCAGAACGCTGGGGTGGGGTGCGGAACGGTGAGAGGCGTAGACCAGAAGATACTCCCGAGAAAACAGATCCACCGAGCATGATGTTGCCGTTTCACGAAAGTGTTACAGCGGCTCACTACGAGTTTGTTCACGAAACTCTGGTGCCAGTTTGAAAAGTGTTACCAGTGCTTCACTTAAATTTTCTTCGACCTGTACATTTTCTACATTGTACTCTTCTCGCTTATCATTTCTCTTACAGAAAATCAAGCTCCTTCAATCGCGCCTCGAGATTGCCGCCAATTTTCGCCGGGGTTGTCAGAGGTGGCGTCTCTGACACGGGCCTTCCCACCCTCAGCAGCAGTCATTTCAAGCAGAACTCCATCCTTGATGAATCCTGGCCATCACCTTCTTTCACTCACACAGCTGAGCTCTGTTTCTTCCACTTACCGAACTCTCTAGCTTAGTCACGTTGTCGGCATACCTTTCAATAGTCCGCCTGTTGATTTTAGAGATTAATGCGCCTGCAGCGACGCGAGAACACAGGCTTGTCAGTAGGATATACCTTATTCACAGTATGAAGAGTACGGAGTCGCGACTCGTTTATGACTGATCCATTTTTAGGATACAGATTCCAGACCTACGACGGAGAATAGATAACAAGCCTATTACATGGCTTTGAGACGCAGGAGGACCTTAGTACGCGGTTGTAAGCCGCAGCATGGACTAACAACCGAAGTTCCTCTTCGGTTTTAAGTCGCAGGACCGATCAACGACCTTGGTACACGGTTCCTTGTTGCAGAATAGACTCGCGGTCTCCATTATCCGTTGTCAGGACGTACGCTAGAGTCGGAACCTTTAGGGTGCGGTGCTAACCACCTTAGCGATTTTAACTTGGGATCCAGCTGGTCATTATCTTCGATGCCGCCTACCACGCTGGTCATTTCCGTCTCTGCACACGGCATTTCATCCAGCCGACCCTTCCTCCGCTCGCCGTTTTCGCATATCGTCGACACTCGCTGCCGTTTGCCGAATTTGTCTGCTCTTCGCCAAGTGTCGCTGCAGTTAGCCGAGTTCGCGGCCGTCGATATTCGTTGCCGTTCGCCAACTTTGCTCCTGGAGTTCGCCATGTTCCGCTACCGTTTGCCGACTATGGGTGCCGTTCGCCGAGTGTCGCCACCATTCGCGGAGCTGCTGCTGTTCGCCGAGTGTCGCTGCCTTTCGCAGAACTGCTACCGTTCACCGAGTCTTCGCTGAGTTTCCTACCGTTCGCCGACTTTGTACGACGCGCTACCGTTAGCTACGTTACGCTGAGGTTGCTGAGGTAGCCGACTTTCGCTGTTGTGCGACGCGCTACCGTTAGCTGCGTCGGTGAGGTCGCCGACTTCCGCTGTTGTGCGACGCGCTACCACTCGCTACGTTGCGCTGAGGTCGCCGACTTTCGTTGTTGTGCGACGCGCTACCGTTAGCTGCGTTGCGCTGAGGTCGCCGACTTCCGCTGTTCTGCGACGCGCTACCGTTAGCTACGTCGCTGAGGTCGCCGAGTTTCGCTGTTGTGCGACGCGCTACCGTTCGCTACGTTGCGCTGAGGTCGCCGACTTCCACTGTTGTGCGACGCGCTACCGTTCGCTACGTTTCGCTGAGGTTGCCGACTTTCGCTGTTGTGCGACGCGCTACCGTTCGCTACGTTGCGCTGAGGTCACCGAGTTTCGTTCCCGTTCGCACTATGCACTTTGAGGAAAACCGCGAAGGATAATGAAGCGTGGCGGAACGCAGAATATTGCAAGTAGAAGCGTGGCGGATCAAGATGTGCGTGTGCGACGCAGATCTAACCCAACAGCAGCGGCTAAACGCGGATTCGACGCATGCGACAGCAGATGCCGCTTAAAAAAGGTGCGTGTGCGTAGCACGCAAGCCGGGGGGCGCATAGGTGTCTGGAGTCTAGTGTTGCTGCTATCGAGCGTCTTTCTTGTTTCCGTGCTGCTCTAACGCATCTGTATCCCCTCTTGCCGTCTCTGCTCGTGTGCGCTCTGTGTGTGATGAGGAGGGAGGGACGAGGGATGCAGTCCAGCGAACTGTCTGCGTCGGAACGTACGCGTGCAGCCGGCGGAAGCAGCAGGAGCAGAAGTAGTAGCATTAGCAGCGGGGAGAAGGCAGACGTCATAGTTGCATGCGAAGGTGCGTGTGGCGTAGAGAGCATGTGGGGGGGCGCGTAGGACGTAGGAGTCTGCCGCGTAGGTGTCTTGAGTCGGCTATTCCTGTCATCCAGTGTCTTTTCTCGAAATGAGCTCGGTCTAACCCATGTGTGTGTTCTCCCCTCTGCTGCTGTGTGTGTGGTGTGGGGAGGAAAAGGAGCACAGGAGACGAGCCAAGGAGGGTCAGCCAAAAGACCTCCGAGAAGCAACAGCAGCAACAGCAACAACGACAAGAACAACATAACGTGAAGGCGTGGCTCGCAGGAGCGGCAGAGCGGCGGACAGAGCATGGTACGTGCCAGGGGGTACTTGCAGGGGGGTCGTGGTGAGTCGTAGGGAGTCGCCGCGCAGAGGCAAGAGTCGTGTCTCTTGCTTTTGCCTCCGCCACTCGTTTCGTGCTGTTTCTAACCCTCCCTTGTTGGTGCCGCTACTGTGTGCGTGTGTCTCTCCCCATGCGTGTGTGTGTGTGCCTCACGGCCTGCGAGCATGGGCAGCCGGAGCAACGGAGCAACCTGGAGCAACTTGGAGCAGCAGGCGTGAAGGGAAGGCGTGGTGCAGGAGTGGCAGAGCAGCGGACACAGTGTGGTATGTGCCAGGGGGTGGCTGCAGGGGGGAGGGAAGTGAGTCGTAGAGTGTCGCTGCGCAGAGGCAAGAGTCGTGTCTCTTGCTTTTGCCTCCGCCGCTCGCCTCCTGCTCCTTCTAACCCTCCCTTGTTGGTTGGTGCCGCTTCTGTGTGGCTGTCTCTCCTCCCATGCGTGTGTGTGCCTCGCGGCCAACAAGCACGGGCAGCGGCAGCAACCGAGCAACTTGGAGCAACCTGGAGAAACTTGGAGCAACCTGGAGCAACCTGGAGCAACCTGGAGCAACCTGGAGCAACCTGGAGCAACCTGGAGCAACCTGGAGCAACCTGGAGCAACCTGGAGCAGCACACATGAAGGGAAGGCGTGGCAGAGCGGCGGACAGAGCAAGGTGCGTGCCTGGGGGTGCTTTCAGGGGGGCCGTGGTGATCATAGGGCGTCGCCGCGCAGAGGCGAGAGTCGTGTCTCTTGCTTTTGCCTCCGCCACTCGCCTCCTGCTCCTTCTAACCCTCCCTTGTTGGTTGGTGCCGCTTCTGTGTAGCTGTCTCTCCTCCCATGCGTGTGTGTGTCTCACCTCACACCTCTCGGCGACACAGCAGTCCTGCCTGCCAAGGGGTGGTGCATTTCGTCCCAGGGAGGGGCTCTGCGAGTGAGGATCCGCCTTCTGAGCCGTCTCAGAAACTGGCTCACCATGGCAGTATGGTAAGTCGCTGGGCGGATCTATGGGGGGTTCAGATCAGTCTAGGTCGCCGTGCGGCAAGTCTTAGAATCGGGTTTTGCTTCTTCCGAGTCCACGTTCTCTGTTGCTTCTGACGCTCGCTCCCGTGTGCTTGTTGCTGTCTGTGATGTGTTGACTGAGGCCATGCACGAGGCAACAGTCCTGCCAGCCAAGGGGTGGTGCGTTGCGTTCCAGAGGTTTCGGTCTAACGCATGTGTTTGTTCTTGCGTGACTGCCTCTGTTGTTGTGTGCGTGTGGGGCGGGCAGGAGGAGGAGCAGCGAGGAGGAGACAAGCGGGATCAGGCAAACGACCTCCGAGCAGCAACAAAAGCCGCAGTAGCAGAAGTTGTAGGGGGGGAGGGAAGTGGGAGAAGAGGGGGAGTATCGACTGTGTCGCTAAGCAGTATGGTAAGTTGTCCGCCGAATTTATCCGGGGGGGTAAAGAAGTTTAGGTCGCCGTGCGGCAAGTCTTAGAATCGATTTCTGTTTCGTCCGAGTCCGTTTCCGCTGCTGCTGCTGACGCACTTTCCTCTGTGCTTGTTTTCGTGCTCTGGGTCGGGGTGTCTTCCCTGACTGAGGCCCAGGGATGTGCTGACAGGATGTCCCACGAAGGTGCGGTGCGAGTGAGGAGTGGGGATCCGCCTTCTGATGCATCACGGGTCTGGGGAGTGAATATTTCATTCGCAACTGCAGACCGGTAAGTGCCTGACGGGTCTATCGGGGGGGTAAAGCAGTCTAGGTCGCCGTGCGGCAAGTCTTAGAATCAATCATGGTTTTTTTCTGAGTCTGTTTCCATTGCTGCTTTTGAAGAACTCTCCTCTGTGCTTGTTGCTGCATTGTATTGGCTTCTCTGGGTTGGGAGTCTCCCTGACTGAGACGCAGGGACGTGCTGACAATGCGTCCAAGGGATATGCAGTGCGAGAGACGAGTGAAGATCCGTCTCAGGCACTGGCTCATACGAGTGAGTGACCTGGCAGCATGGTAAGTAATTTGGGCGGGTTTTTTTGGGGGTGCAGAGTTGGTCTCTGGCATCGTTTGGCTAGGGTAAAGGTTCGTGCCGCAGAGGTAAACCCCGCTCTCCTTCATCGCTTTACTGGTTCTCTTCTGGCTTGGCTTTCCCTGCTGTTGTTCCTCCGCTGCCTCTTTGCTTGCTGTAGTGTTTCCTCCCCTCCCTCCTCCCCAACCCCTCTTTTGCCCTTTTCCCATTGCTGCACCCAACCCCTCTTTTTCCCTTTTATCCTGCTTCCCAGCACCCTGCTTCTCTGCAGCCGAACTGAAGCATCTGAGAGCGTGCCGCTCCCAAAACACTCCCCTTAGCTCTCCATTTCTCCCCTTTTTTCCCACCATCACGCAGCAGGCGTGGTTGCAGCAACACCATCAACATGC